GTTTGTTTCCTGAGATTAAGAATTCCTCATATCAGTGAGGTCATATGATACATGTCTTTCTCTGATTGACTTATTTCGCTTAGCATAATACCCTCTAGTTCCATCCACGTCATTGCAAATGGCAAGATTATAGTTTTTGTTTTTTGTGGTTTTTTTTTTTGATGGCTGCATAATACTCCATTATATATATACACACACCACATCTTCTTTATCCATTCCTCTGTTGATGGACATCTTGGCTCTTTCCATAGTTCGGCTATTGTAGACATTGCTGCTATAAACATTAGGGTGCACGTACCCCTTTGGATCACTACATTTGTATCTTTGGGGTAAATACTCAGTAGTGCAATTGCTGGGTCATAGGGTGTCTCTATTTTCAACTTTTTGAGGAACCTCCATACTGTTTTTTAGAGTGGCTGCATCAGCTTGCATTCCCACCAACAGTGTAGGAAGAAGGTTCCCCTTTCTCTGCATCCTCACCAACATCTGTCGTTTCCTGACTTGTTAATTTTAGCCATTCTGAGTGGCATAAGGTGGTATCTCTTTGAGGTTTTGATTTGGATTTCTCTGATGCCGTTTCTCACAAATTTTTAAAAGACAAGGAATAAGATTACATACAGATCTTGTATTCATGGGTCTTCCCTAACTCTATAGAATCATGTTTATTTGTGGAATAGGGTGTTTATGTAATGTTTCCTTTCCAGGGTTTGTTAAACATGAAAAGTACATGCCCCAAAGAATGCATGGCACAGATTAGGTCTCAGTAAATAGTAACAATTAGAATTCCTAGTCGGGACTGGTCCCATTGGTTCATATATGAATTCATTTTCTTTGGATTAGAATTCCCTTGAATTTCTTTTGGAGAGTGGGAATAATTCATGGCTATTTAGGCAATAGCTAAAACAGAGATTTCTGGGGGCGCCTGGGTGGCTCAGTTGGTTAAGCGACTGCCTTCGGCTCAGGTCATGATCCTGGAGTCCCGGGATCAAGTCCCGCATCGGGCTCCCTGCTTGGCGGGAAGTCTGCTTCTCCCTCTCCCGCTCCCCCCTCTTGTGCTCTCTCTCTCTCATGCTCTCTCTCAAATAAATAAATAAAATCTTTAAAAAAAACAGATTTCTGAAGGCAAAAGAGCAAAGAACTTCTTTTTAGGAAAAGAAAAGGGTGGGGTATTGCCTCCGGAGAAATTGCATAGTGAGTGGATTTTTAAAATGTAAATAGGAAATTCTAGCTCATTTTCTGTCAGCACATCAAACCAATCAAGAAGAGCAAATCTCTGGTTAAAGAGGACATTCTGAAGGGATGAAAAGACCCAACTCCCTAATTTCTTCCCTGGTGTAGTAACAACAGTGGGATTATTCTGAATTCTCAAACTTCTGATTGCACTTAAGAGCGTAGAATTGCCCACAACATTTTGGCTGGTGGCAAAGCTGAGGAATGAATTAGCCGCTCAGATCAGAAGGCCAGAGCAGAGGACCAGAGGGTGAGTCTTTCCTAGGAGGCTACCACCTCAGTCAGTGGTGGAGACAAGCAAATGTGGGACTCTGACCCAGGGCCTGTGAAATTCAGTGACCCTATTTTCTGAATAAAAACTGAAACCCATTCTTATAAGGGGATACTTTGGGATTTGAAGATAGGATATGTGAGAGAAAACTGTCCTGGTGCTTAGTGAAGCTCAGATAGATGGTGGCTTTGCTATGAACAAAGCTGCCACAATTTTGATGGACTACATGAGGCCGTTTTCTGAATAGAGTGCAGTAGGAAGAGCATTGTACATTGAGTTGTGAGCTCGGGTGGCAGAGGTAGTTTTCTTTACCAGGGAGGAAGAAGGGACAGCCAGCTGACAGAAAGTAGATGAGAGGGTAGACCTCCAGAATAAGAAAGTGGGCAGGAGTTAGGGCATCATCTCATTTTTATACTTGGAGGACTAGCTGAGCTTTCTATTTACTTTTCTGTGTGTGGAGGGTGAGAAGGGTATACAGGTGTTCAGAGGAAAGTCGAATTTGGATTTCTGTCCCTCAGGAATAGATCTGACAGGAGAGTGAGAAGAAAAAGTGATACATTCTTGTTCCCCTCCCTTCCAAGAAGTATCTAAATTCTCGTGGGGTTCTAGTCCCACCTGTGCTTTGAGATCATTAGTGATCTAGGCAAGGTGTAGGCGGATAGGTGGGGCACACACTCACAGTTGTTGGTAGGGTGCAGCCCAAACCTACTTAGGACCTTCTGTGGGTGGTCACTTAATTTCACACCTAGTGGAAATACCCCTTCTGCCTACGGAAAAACATATTTAGAAATGTTGAAGTAGTAGATGTGTTTGGAAAGAAAAAAAATGTTTACAACTAATGATCTTCCATTTTCCCGGCATGACCTTGCTCAGGCTGTCTCCCGACATGGTCCCGAATGGAATTGTTTATTCCATTCTGTGGTTGTACCTTGTCTTGTTAGATCTTCTTGTCTATTGTTTCTCCCACTGGATTGGGAGTCCTTAAGTGTAGGCAACATGTTTATTCATTTTTCTACTCTTAGTGCCTCATACAAATGTTTGTTGGATTGTTAGAAGAGTAGCAGATTTAAACAGATGTGATATTCATTTGCCTGAATTATTCAGAGGTAGTTGAATTTTTAAGCCACTCTGTTTTGAATACCTGTTATGGTTCTGTTTTTCAGGAAATGTATGAAGAATCGTCATCATCTTGGAAAAGAAACAAAGAATGCTTTTGGACAACCAGTGATTAAGTCACACATTTTTTAAAGAATACTAAAATTAAATTTGGTAAACCTCTGTCTTTAACCATATTTTGATTTTTCTTTCCCAGAAGTTAGGATGGTTTAATGAAGTACAGTCTCTTATGATACACCAGTACAATGTGACAAAAGGGAGACAAAAAGCAAGTGGGTGTTCAGGATGAGGGCTTATGCAGGAACCGGAGATAGAGGAGAGGCTTTAGGGAAAAAGCGGGAGAGTAATTGAAATGTGAGGGGAGATGTTGGTGGTAGACATACTCTTCCATGAAGTAGGAATTTCAGATTACATAATGTTTTAAAGTGTTTTTCAATGAGAAGCAAAATGAAAAGGATTTTATTTTCTTTGAAGGTAATAGTAGATGGTCAATGAATGAAGTACTTTATGATTTTATGGATGGTTTTGTCCTTTGAATATGATATTAGAGTCACAATATATTTCAGTTTGTTGTGAGAAATAGTGGTCAAGAAGCCAGTACTTTGAGTCTTGATCTCCAATCCCTGAGCGAACCTATTGGAGAATTTGCAAACGGATTCCTGGATGTCTTTCCATTTTCCACTGCCACATCTCTCATCCAAGCCAGTACTCCATGTCTCTTGGACTGCTGCTGTGGCCTGCTGACAGTCCCCTGCTGCTGTTCTGCCTCCCGCTGAGTCACTGCATCCTCCTCGGAACCTTCTGAGAGCCAGTCCCATCCTAGAACCCCCACTGTCCTCTCCGTGGCCCACAGTCTGTGATTGGGCTCCCCCCTGCTCCTCGCTTGCTCCAGGCACCCCTGCTTTGCTGTGGCTGGTCTGCAACAAGCTTAGTTTGTCGTAGGGCCCTTACTTGTTCCTTTATCTAGAATGCTCTTCCTCCAGGTATTCCCACAGTCTGCTTCTTCACTTTATTTCAATCCCCGGTTACATGTTATCTCCTCAGAGAGCCTTCTCTGGCTATCCTATTTCAAACTGGAGTCCTGGTCCCTTACTCTGCTTTCTATCTTGTTGTGGCCCTTAATGCTACCTGATGGACTGTATCTGTTAGTTTTCTCCATCACTGGACTCTAGACTTCCTGAGGTCAGGGGATCTCTGTCAAATGTCCCCACCACTACCATGGACTGGAAAATGCTGTTGGTGTTAAGTATTGTGCCCCAGATTCAACACACCTGGCACATGTGTAGCTGTTGTGTGAAGGTATCTGGCTGAATGCATGAGTGGGTGGGTTTCCGCTCTGCTCCTCCTCCGCTCCCGTACTCTGCCGTCTGCAGAGCATGGAGGTTGTGAGAGGTCTCTTGAGGCGGGAGTGATCTGTGATGTAGTTAGTAGCCGACCCGGCAGAGGGCAGCAGAGCCAGGGCTACAGTAAGAGCAGCTTGAGTCAGCTGGTTAGTCTGTTCCTTTTCTTTTGCATAGAACCAAACTTTCAGTTTAGTTAGCCTTTTTCTTTAAGTTAGGGTTGGAGTGGTTCTTAGATGAACAGTAGTGTCTGGCTTTGAGGAAGATTATTTCCAGGGCCTAATTGGTACCTGAATTTAAAATATTGAGGGGTTATGATAGGATGAGGATGGAATTTTTAAAAATGCTATTTATAGTTTTTAAAAAGTGATGTAGAATAAGTAGGAGGAATTTTAAAAAATGAGTAAATATAAAATTTTCCAATTTGGGACAAAGTGGCAGCCTTAAAATATAGATCTGTTCTGTGACAAACCTCGTGTTCTTTTTCTTCGTAGTTGTATTTTAGTGTACAATACATACCAGACACACACTGGTGGCAGGCCCGTGGTAAGCCGCCCTGACAGCTTGGTTCACCAGAACTGAGATGGGCAAGGTTGAGGAAAGCGTTTGAGAGGCCACCTGATCGGGAATGGGACACGTTTGTGCATCGATGTAGCTGGAAGCATGTGCCACCCAACCTTTGCATTAATGTGCCGTCTCTACAGTGAGGGCCAGTCGGTAAGCTTGCTCTGTATCTTTCCTAACACATAATAACTTCAGCATATTTAATCCTTAAAATGTTTAAACCCTCCTGCTTACTACTAAAACTTAAAAAAAAAACAACCAAACAAACAACTTCAGATGACTGCTTAGGCAAGTTGCAACAGTTGGCCAACGTTTTTTCCTCTCTCTTCCAAGCACACATTTTATTTCACGTGATAAGTTGTGCTTTAGAGCAGTGCTTCTCAGACTTTACTATGTAATGTAATATGAGTCATCTGGGGATCTTGCTAAACTTCCCACTGGCGTTCAGTAGTTCTGGATGGCACTGAGATACGCATTTTATAATAGGCTCCAGGTGATGCAATGCTGCCTATCTGTGGACACACATTTCGAGGCAAGGTTTTACACCTAGTCCTTAAACCATGAAGGTAGTTTAAGGTTCTTACAGAACATCCTGTGGTCACTGCTAGTAATTTAAGAGATTAGATACATCCTTCCAATTCTTACTTTGCTTCAGAACACGTTCAAGACTCCATCGGAGTGTGTAAGATAAATACAGTGAAATAAATATACGAGCCATAAAATTAAAAGTCCAAAGTAATATAACTTTATTTTCAAAGCTATTTTAATTATAATAATGTGGTATAAAGAGTGTTTACAGTTAAATAACACTTTTGCTTGATTCTCACATTTGAGTTTTTCTCATATGAATGTTGATTACTTTTCCAATTCGATTTGTTTCTCAGAAATGAATTGTACAATTAGATGAACATGCATACATTTTTATATTTTTTGTGGAGAGAAAAAAGGCAAAAACCAGTTAATTACATCTTAAAGATTTATACTTTACATGAAGGAAAATATCCAAGACAGTTTCTCTTTAAAAAATATACAATTCTAACATAGTTGTGCAATATATACATTTTTGACTTTGCCAAAATCCAGTACAGATGAAACCATCTTTTTGTATTTACATATGGCTACATTTTCATTAAGGTTCAAAGACGTGGTTAACATTTTTATTTCAAATTTTACCCTCATGTTTATCTTTTACCTTTAGATGTTTAGCCTTTCAAATTGTTTATAATGGGTATGCTTAATGTACATGAGGGGCATAATCCCGAAAAGTCATGGGTACAGGTATTTTCTGTGTGCAAACTGAAATACCAAAGATGGGCCAGGGTGCTCAGTTTGAGGGATCCTGCTTTCTGTTTAATGTCTTGAGATTTTTAATATATTAACTTATAGCTGCATATCAGAATAGATAAATACATTATAAAATTATACCTTTACAATAGCTTTTAGTATAATCACTTGTGTGATTATGATAAATTGGTTTTAGTTTTCATTTCACAGTTAATAGATAACTTCTATTATAAAAAGAACACTGCCAGCTAGAAAAAATTTCTTTCTAGTTGGGGAGTTCTTTTGCTGCTAAAATGAATGATGCACCATTTCAAGTCTTAAGGCAGCTTCCTCACAAACTATTTTACTATTTTCTAAATGGCTTATGTGGCAGCCATGCACAAAGCAACTGTTTTTAATCACATTCTACAGATCTTGTCTATATACCATTTATGAAATGGAAACTTTAAGATGGTATCTTTTAAGCCCCATATTATACTTACTTTTAAAACAAAAGTATGGCTGAATAGGAATACATAACTGTTTATTTCAAGCACTGGGTTTTGTTTTAATTTCTTGGATAAATCCTCGCCTTTGCTTAAAAGTGCTTGAGAAATACTAGAGCCCTGCCTCAAATTTTGATCTGATGATGGAAGTTGTGTATTTATATTAGGCCACTTGCTCTTAGTGTATTGGGGTTCTCAATTGGGGTGATTTTGCCTCCCAGGAGGCATGATACAATGTCTGGAGATATTTTTTGATTGTCACATCTTGGGGCAGAGGATGCTCCATGCCAGGGATGCTAAACATCCTACAAGGCACAGGACAGTCCCCTGCAAGAATGCATTACCTGGCCCCTCACGTCAGTAGTGCCCAGGCTGAGAAACCCTGCCCTAGGGTAATAAATGGTACAGAGACAAGTGGCTAAGTTTTTAGTTTGTAGTAACCCAGCTACTTCATGGAGACAACGCTGCCAAGGTAGATTACCTAAGCCACGGCTTGGCCAAGGCTCCCAAACTCACCGTGGGTTTTAGTGCTTCTGTAAGAAAGGAATGACCTGCTAGAATTCCTTGTGTAGCACCCTGAAGAACTAGTATGTATATGTGTACAGTAGTTAGATGGTTTATTAAATACTCTATCAACTTAGTGATGTTTTTCCTCTACCCTCAAAGAAGTTTTGGACTCAGAGTCCACACCGCTGTACTAAGAATTGGGCTCTAGCACATCTAGAGAATACCATGGTTTTGCTATAAACCCCTGACATTTTATGGCTAATCCCCCCCCCCCCCAGTTTTGCTTTGTCAAATACAAAATAAATCACTAAACAGTGTAGATAGCTTGAGATAGCTCACAGGAGTTGGGCCAGGAGGGCAGTCGGGACCAGATGCACACGGGCATATGCCTGTTTTCAAAGTCAGGTTTTTGGAGGATTGTAATTACAAGAAATCCAGATCATAGCCTTTTAAAGCTAAAAGCATTGCTGCTGAACTCCAACCCAGTCTTCCCATTTTCTAATGCAGACACTGCAGTGTATATAGTCCCTTTGCCTTTCTCCCAGTCCCTCCTGGAGAATGTGTGGGCTCAGAAACAAAGTGCAGAAGGAGAAATGGGTGGTGTATCGCCAAGACAGTTCATTTACATCAGTGACTGGGATGCTCGTTAGAAAACAGACTAATGGGTTTCATCCCTGTCTGACCAAATAAATGTCTCAGGAGTTGGGACCAACAGGCTACCTAGGGATCAAACTTGCCCAGGTGGGAGTCATTCTTCTGGAAGCTTAAGTCCTCCAGCAACACACAAACCCAGAGGGTATAACTGCTAATTTGGTGGTTTCCAATATCTCCTTGTAGTTTCTTGCAAATTCCCGTGTTTTGTTTTTTTGTTTTTTTTTTAACTGCCTGAAATTCCAACAATTAGAAATTCACTCTGGCTTATTTTTCTTACTTGTTTACCAATAAATGAAAATAGCTCCCTGGAGTTAAGGAGATTATTCACATAAGTATGTGAGATGATTTTTCGTCCTCATACCTGGAGGTATGAGGGGAGCAGCTGCCCCCAAGGAATGGGAGACTGGGCCAAGGGCCAAGGGAAGGTGGTTAACTCTGGATGACTGGATAGGAAGGTGTGCCTCAGGGAGCTTCTAGAAGATGGGGGCACCAGGAGGTGGGAGAGTGGCTTGGTCCGGAAGGAGGAAGGATGCCAAAGAAATTACTCATCTTCTGAAAATTCAAACTAGGTCCCTGCCAGCCAGTCAAGTTAGCAAGTTGGGCATCCTGAAGGAGAAAGGCAACTTCCTACTTCCTGTAGCATAGGCTGGGCCTCTAGCAGATAGGATTTTACCATAAACGTTGTGATATTATGGATTTTAAACAAAGTTTTGTGCTTTGGCCTCTAAATTACTACCCCCTCTCCACCCTTAAATGGAAGTTTTTTCTCCAGAAAGCATACTCTGGGCTCCTACCAGGTATCCAGGCGTGTTTTGATAAGTACATCCTAGCAAACAAGGGACTGAGAAGGCAGCTGCAGGCTGACAACAGCAAATTTTACCCTACTTTATTAAGAAAATTATCACTTTAACTTCTGTGGCAGCTTTGGATGAGCAGCATAAGTTGAAAACCTGTGTTGTTTTCTCCCCATCAACATCAATAGCCAAGCTAATTCTGTATCTATGTGAAGTCCTTCCACTTTTGTTGTTACTGTTTAAAAACAATCATTTTCAATGATTGGGGTTCCCCCTCCAATCTGAGAAAGGTTGTATTTTTCTTTAAGACTTCTCATGTTTGTAAGCATTTCATTTTTCTGACACAACGCACATAATGTAAACTCTGGACCAGCCAATGGAAAGATACCACTTTTCCTCCCATATAAAATAAGTCTTTTACCCTTTATACTCCTAGCCACCCCCCCGCCCCAATTTCTTCTTTCCAAACTGACCTGCAGTTTTTGTAAAATATCAGGCTAGTTTACCTATTACACATAAAACACAGATTTAAAAAAAAAAAAAAATCCATTCATGCAAATTGCAGACCCAGGCTGCATGCTGCCAGGAGACTGGGGCGGGGGGGGCTCAGCTGCTGAGTTCCGTGGTCTCGTCAATCTCATCTGCATTTTTGGACATTTTTTCATATTTTCTTTTGAAGAAGCCGAGCTGTAAGATGCGGGTGTAAACAATTGACCACCCATGGGCTATTTTGTCATGGCGTCTTTGCCCCCGCCCTGGCCGCCCACTAGAGCACCTCTGGGACTCTCGGGGCTCTGGAGGGGGTGGTGTGCACACTGTGACCTGGTGTCAGCTTTTCAGTGAGGAAATAGTACCCAGGGAGTTGAACTCAATTCTCAATTGCATCGAGTTAAATTTAAATTTTCCATGGTCTGCTTATTTGCAGCTGAACAAAACATTCAGGGGTCTGGATGGAAGGCAGGCTGAAAAAAAAAAAATATAGGGACCAAGACCAAGGATCTAAAATCCTTACTGATGGTTTTCAAGGACATAAGTGAGAATTTGCAAATAAATTTGCATTTCCTTTTCTCTTACGATGGAGGAGGTATTATATAAAACTTAAGGCTACTGTTTGATAAGGAAATTCAAGACAGATGTCTTTAGGAGCACCATGTTTTTAACCATCTGAGCCACCCAGGTGCCCCTTTAGGAGCCCCATGTTTTTAAATATGAAAAATTTTCTTACCTTCCATAAAACTGCAACCAGAGCTAATAGCAAAAGGATTCCAGCAATTACACTTCCTACTATAACTCCAGTTGGAACTTCAGCTTTCTCATGGGGTTTCATTATCGTGATGGGAATCTGTAAATGTACATATGCAACAATTGAGTTAATTGTAGCACCCAGAGAAAGTGAGATGGTTTCGTCAAATTCTCTAATTTTATAAATGGTGGTCCAGAAAGGTGACGTGACTCACTCATGATCTCATTCCTCAGCTAAATGTTGTGCAGTATAATTTCTAAAGAAAATGCTCCTGCAAAGTACAGGCAAGGAATACAAGTTTTCTAGTTTCCTCTGTTCTTAGTTGTGTCTGTATTTAGTAGATACGTCACCTCGGACAACCTCAGATGCTTTATTTATGAAATAGGAACTTCGGTTTCTGACACAGTTCCATCGTCAAGTGACAGCATTTGGAGTCCAGACTTGGAGAGGGGAGTCGAAAACCAAACAAATTAACAACCCTAGATCCCTTGTGATTAAGTAACAGCAGCTTTGTACTAGGATCCTAGGTAATTGCTTTCACTTAACTCACTCAAGTTATTTGATGTGGATTGTTAAAAAGTGGAAGTAACGGCTCAGGTTGACCTTTTCCGTGATAAACTGTCCTTGAGGCTATTTGTGATTCTTTATGTCTACTTCCTGGGAATCTTTGTGACTTTGTAATAGAATGGTTGCCCTAAGAGTTGTAATGATAAAACAGTATCATACATACATATATGTGTGTATATATATTTTTTATGTATATTTTTTTAATTGCAGAATCACTGCCATTTCCTCCACAAAGTGTATTAAGAATATTAAGAGCTGCATTTTGGGGAAAACAAGTCGACAAAACCCAATTTATTGATTGATTTAACACTACATTACAGTGGCAGATGAGCCGTCACAGAATTTATGAGTTGGGCTGAACTTTGTCTTGCCTTTTGGTAATTATATTTCTTTTCATTTTTATTTTCAAGAGCTAAAATACGGTTTTACAATTTAGGAATAAAGTAACTGACTTAATGGCAGTCAAACCTTTACTCTCCATTCCAGAATTTCCCAGTCTGGGGTCCATGGATCCAAAGGGATCCATGAGTATAAAAATTTTTGTATCAGATTTTTAAATGGACTGGGATTCAAATAAATTTAAGAATCGCTCATCTACCTAAAGGGATATGCCAGTTTATTATCTGGATTCCAAATATTATTCAAAAAATTATCCAGATTATTTGGATTAAAAATGTATTTTCATGGACAAGGAATAGTTGGCCTTTGTTATTTATCAGTATTGACAAGAGAAAATCAAGAAAAAATCTAAAGCATTCATTAAAATTGTTAGATAAATGTATTGACAATTGAAATATTGCTTTCTGAAAAAAAGACCTCGGCAGATGTTCAGAGAGTCTGAACACTACATTTTTTAAAAATGAACTTCTAAAATACCTATAGTACTGCTAAGTTCGTAATACTTTGAATTTGAAGTCCACATTTCCTTTGGCTCCATTTCTGATTTTCCACATCCCAGCCTCTGAAGAGAGGGTGTGGGCCTTTGCTGAGGGTAATAAGCCCAGGGCCGAACAGCATCCTTTCTTGGAATCCTTTCTCCTGGGACCAGAGTGGGCCACCAGTGCTGTGAGCCCTACTCTCAAGGATTGACAGAGGTCCAGAGTTCACAGGGCCATTGGCTTTTTAATGGCTACAACAGTGGACTGAGGCCAGCTGCCAGGCTGGTCTTGGGACAGAGTCTTAAACTGGGGCTTCCAATTGTTAACAAAAGCATTGGGAGGAAAATGCTCAGCCAGCAGATTAGCTGAGCTTGGAAGTCCCACTATATCTAAATATGGCCTATTCGAACCAGAGGTTCACTGCAAAGGAAAGTTGTCCTGTGCCAGCCCTTGGAACAGTGAGCCTTTGTTTTCTCTGAAAGTACATTTCTTTGCAAGAGTTTTTTTTTTCCAAATCAAGGGGAACATTCATAGTTTTCTAGAGTATAAGAACTAATGAATGGACACTTCACACAGTGCCGGTATCTAGCTATAAGGAATACTAAAAAAAAAAAACAACCCAAAACCCTCTAATAAATGCCTTAAGCCTACTTAAGCACTTCTCTTTAAACAATAAAATAAAATATATGATTCAAATAAGCCTGACTTGAATGTCATAGCCTGAGATGTAGACTGTGCTGTGAAAGCAAGGAGAAAGGAAGAGCGGCTTGAGGCCTGGATTAGGGAGCCACAGACAGCAGGAGCCCCTTTTGTTGTGCCTCGAAGTGGACTGTCCCTTCTGATCCAGCTTCGCCAACATGGGTTGGGGGCCGTGGGGGAGTGTGGAGGGCAGGTATACCACTGAACTTTTTAGAGTAAAGTAGCAAACAACTTTGCCAATAAGCCTAACGTAATAAACCTCAGGTTTTTAGAGTTTCACCTAAGAAACTTGTACAGATGTGTAGGTGAGAAGAACCACTATTCTTAAGTTTTCAGAAAGGAAGGCCTATCAGAGACTAGCGCCCGCTGGGGTGACAGGATGTGCTCACCGTGACTGTGTTTTCTTCGATCACATATATCTGAGGGTTATAGGTGTTGATTTCTGCAGATGCGGTCAGCTGTACGGTCTGGAAAGTTGACTGGAACATAAGAATAAATAGGTTTTATCCTAGCAGAAGTTCACACACACAACTTTGGCATGTTTATTATTTGTTTCCTTGTGGAAAATGACAAGAGCAAAGGGCTCCTATGAAGCCCCAAGAATCTTTGTGTTCCTAAATCGGTGATACATGTAGGACCGCACATGGGAAGCAGCTGGGGAACTGAAAATGTGTGGATACCTGGGCCATAATAGCAAATTAAACCAAATCTTGGGAGTGGGGGCGAAATTCAGGCATCAGCAGTTTTTAATTGGGAAGGGTCATGGTTCAGATTTTTAAAAACTTTACATAAAGTTTTCATCATGAGGGAAAATTGCAAGCTTGAGGTTTCATATATTTACCTGAATAAGTCAAATAATGGAATGGAAAATCGAATAAAAACAGTAAAAGTACACTTAAGCTTGACCATGCATGTCAGCAGCAGACACCCTGAACCTTTTGTCGAGCTACATAATGAGTAATAATTTCAGGTTTCTAATTTCTAAGTATTTATAAAAAATACTGGATTTGGGGCAGGCATATAGGAAGGACACATTTTATGCTGTTACTAGTAACCATGTAATATGAAATTACACGTATTCCTGGACCTACTTAGAGAAAAATGATTTTTCAGTGGATACATTATTGATGTGTATTTTGTTTTTTCTGTAACGCAAATGTTGGGACTGATGCTTACTTTGAAATAGCATACAGTGCCCAGATTTAGAACTGCCTTCCTATGCTCTGGCTACTAGGATTCAGTTTTTCTGGTTACCAAGGCACATGTTTCAACATACATCATGAGGTGATTTGCTAAATTATATCTGGGAGCCAGAAAAAGAATGCATATCCAAAAAGCAATTTATTTCCTTTCCCCCGGCTCAGTCTGATTAGTTTTAATTTTCTCAAGATGGAAGATTGCATCAGAAGTTAAGCCTGATCCCTCATGTCTTAAGCACACATTATTGGGGAAACATTCACAGTATTGATAATGGTCTCTTTTAAAAAGAAAAATAGCAATTAAATGATGGTTTCATAGTCCCTGTAGACTAAAAAAAATTTCTTCACAACACTGATCTATCTGCCCTCCCAAGCCTGCCCCTTGGCACAGCTGTGCACACGACATCCTGTTAACCGGGGTCGTTACACCACGCGTACCTGGGAGAGTGAATAACACACCTGCTAGCACTCACAAGGCTCCGCCTTCCAAACCACAGCCGACCATGCCACTGATGCAGAGGCCTGAGCAGTCACTTTGTGACGAAATTAGGGAAATGTTTACTTGCAGTGCATCAGGAAAAGGGTGAAAGGCACTATGCTAATGGACTCTAGTACAGGAAATGAGATTTGTATTTCAGACTGGATCTCCTAGGTGGCCTGAGAACATCCATTTGACTGTTGAAATAGCTGAAAACAAGGTGGGAATAAACATTTGACCTTTTCAATGGAGGAGGAAGATGTGTGGGACTCGACAGACACTAACTCTCATAGGGGTTTTTCAGCTCATCCATAACCACTGAAAAAGCATAAATATACTTCAGAAATTTGCTCCCAGAAATGAGACTGCTGCTCCTGACAACGTTTGGGAAGGTACTTTTAAAAGTCTTACAGTTAAAATAATGTAGTTTTAAAGAAACTCAAGAAAACCCAAATGGCTTTTTACAGAGCCAGCATGATTGCATTTTGATTTGCAACAGTTTTCCTTCCCAGTTGGCAAAGGTTGCTAAGGAAAACATTTGTTCCTCAAATCCAAGGAGACAAGAACCAATTGGTGAAATCTGGCACCAAACTGCATCAGCTGGGACGGTGGTCTAACTCACCGCATGCTTCCCATCTTCTAAGATTTAGAGGGGTCTGAAAGGCTTGAAAGCAAATGTAACCAACAACAAAATAAAAGCAAGCAAGAGGAAAACCCAGTTCCTCACTCCTACACTCTCCCACTTCTCTGTTCCCCTCCCTCTCACTGTTCCTCTATTATGTCTCTATCCAAGAATATTGCTCATATTTTGGTTCCAGGGACAAGTTCGGAGGGAACTTAGTCCTCTAATCTTAAAACTCCATAGCAGGGAAAATGGGGTTGTTGGAGAGATCATGAAATGGTTAGAAAATAGGGAATGGAGTGTGGTTGGTAAGCACCTTGAGGATTCATTATTCGTTTAAAAAAAAAAAAACACACAAGAGCCACAAGGACCCCTGGAGGTTTCAGACTAATTTTTATTTTGCTGCCTCAGTCAGAGCCAGTGTCGATAAAATGAATAGCTAGCTACTTACGTAGTCAGCTTTAAGGAGCCCTGTCTATCCTATTTTTCATGCCAGACTGAGATTCTGGCTACCGAAATCTCAGCTAAAAGCAGATATGACTACGGCAGAGTCACACCTGCCAAATGGAAAAATCACTGACACTGTTTTGACATATTCTCCAAACTTTTCATGAGCTGGGAAGGACTTTAAAAAAAAAATGGTGTATGTATACTGGGCTTTCACCAGAGAAAGGGTAAAACGAGAGCAGAGTGGCTCCATGGCAGGATTCATCTACATGGTGGGCTGAGATCAGTCAATTAGCTGGGAGCTCAAGGAAGGAGACAGAGACGTGCATTTTGATTTGGGCATGTTAAAGTGACTAGGAAGGCAGAAAAATCCAGGGCACGAGGACGAAGACAAACCAGGTGGCCCATTGTTCCCAGGACAGCACAGAGGATCTTGACATCCCAGAGAGTTCTGATGTAGTAGGGTGGCATGGAATCTATGAAGCTGATGATTTACAAGCACCCCAGGTGATTCTGAGGCATAACCAGGTTGGGCAAACTTTGGAAAGGGATCAGAAGCCAATTGCCTTCCAGGGTAAAATTGCTGTGAGTCATCTGGGCATTGCTGATACTAGTCAGAATGCTACTTTTGTTGAAGGGTATGAATTTATTGACAATGAAACCTATGCATCCTTGCTATCGATAAGCCCAACAAATAAAGCTTATACTTACGGCTGCAAAAGTCCCGTTCCAAATTCTGGTTGATACATTAAGGAAGTACTCTCCTTTGACCTGAAGGTCTTTCATCCAGCAGGTAACGTTACCACATGAAGCAGCTCTGCAGTTCTTTCAGGTTGGAGTCAATGAAAGGAAAGAGCATGGGCTTAAAAAAGTAAATGCTAAAATTTTACAAAGATAGATAAAACCCAGTGCTGGGAAGGATCTAGGAAAACAGGCAGTCTCCTGAACCTTCTAACCCTTCCTTCAGGAGGTTGTGGCACTAGGCTCGAAAGGTAGAAAATGCATGCCCTTTGGCCCAGCCATTTCCCATCTGTATGGATGATAATCAGAAATGTGGTGCGGAGAAGAGTACGTCAAACCTGTTCGTTTCATTACTATTTCTGAGACTAAAAACAACCACCAAACGAAATAATTTGTGTTTATCCATAATGTACTAGTTAGGTAGATTATTGGACATACATGCACAAAATGCAGTGCAATTTAGTCATTAAACATAATTGATAAAGATGCATTCCTTAGATGAAAAAAAAGTTGACAGTAAAAGAATTATGGTTGCCAAGGGTTAGGGAGGAGAGAAGGATGAACAGAGGAGTTTTAAGGCAGTGGAATGATTCTGTATGATACTCTAATTGTGGATACAGGTCATTACACATTTGTGAAAATCCATAGAATGTCCGACATCTAAGAGTGAGTGCTAATGTAAACTATGGACTTGGGGTGATTATGATGTGTCAGTGTAGGTTCGTCAGCTGTACCAGTCTGATGTGGAAGGGGATTTTGAGAGTGGGGGGAGGCTGTCCACATGTGGGGGCGCAAAAGGCAGTTGGGAAATTTCTGTACCTTCCACTCAGTTTTGCTGTGAACCTAAAACTGCTCTAAAAAATGAAGTCTATAAAAAAAAAGTCAATGATATATTAACCTATTAAAAGAAAGGTATAAAAAAAGATAGCAGGAGGGGAAGAATGAAGGGGGGGAAATCGGAGGGGGAGACGAACCATGAGAGACGATGGACTCTGAAAAACAAACAGGGTTCTAG